ACAATCATGAATTTTGATATTTCAGATTTTTCTTTGTAATTTTTCTTAAAAGTATCCTTAATTAAAAACAAAAATTATTATTTGAGACTGAAAACAAGTCCAAAACCACTTCTATTTTAATGTACATCATAAATCCCCTTAATTAGAACATTTATTACACAACATGGAGCAGTTAAATATCCAGATTTGTAATTTTTTTTTTTTTGGCAGCCACACTCATCAACGGTTATTACAGTTTTAGCTATAGGGATAAGAGTGATTGTTGAAAGGAATAAAATTTTTATAATTACTTCATAGCACAGTGTACATTGTCCAACTTTAACGCAAGCACAGGTAGCAAGCAGAGGCTTAATAATGAGATGTGCACATGCTCTTTATTCAAAACACGCTTCTGAATCCCCAACAGTAATGCAAATACTGAATTTTTTTTAACCTACTTTTTGAAAAAAAATAAAGGTTAGGTTCATCTTTGATAACTTCTATGCTCTGAATATAATCCTTAATTTCTCTTTATAGAAATGGCTGCAGAGACTAAATTTTAATTATTTGGGGATTGTTCAAGTCATAGACTTAAGATCAATACACAGCAAGTTGAAACATGAAGAGTAAGCAAAATGTAAGTACTCTCTCTCTACAAAAACTTTCTTGCTCCCATTCTCTACACAACCTAATCCTATTACTTCTATCTTACTAATGCTACTTTCAAAGAGAAAGAGCAGAAAGCATGCTAATGGTAGGAGGAAAGCATTTTAGGTTAAAAAAAAATTCAGAGGAAATAAAGGAACATCCTAAAACACTATGGACTATAGCAAGGGAAATGTGCAAAGAGTAGGATCTAAAAAATTGCCTAGTTCCTAGAAATTGAATAGAAAATTATTCTCACATTATCCATCATTCACTAATAGCAAGTAATATTTACCATTACACTACTCAAAGTTTTAGAAACTTGTTAATTGTTCCTTATTAAAAAGAATACATTTTATTTTCATTTAAAATTTGGCACTAAGTCTTAGAATATCCAAATATGACTTTAAAAATCCTGATTTTTCCTGAGTTCATCAACTCAAGTTATATATTGGTTGGGATATTGCTGCTTCTAATGGGAATCTTATCTCAAACTATCACCTCTTGTTCAGTTTTAGGCAAATTAAAATAAGAAGTCACTCAGTGCAGAACAGTGTGGTTATGGTAACTGCGTGGTTATGATTATCCAAAAAGATAGAGAGAGAGACAGACACACTATTCATTTTATTTGTCAGACTCTTCTAATAAGCATTTAAAGACAGGCCCAGGAGTGACTTCACAGCTAACTATATAGGCTACAATACAGATTTTTTAAAATGACATATAAATCATAAAAACAGATGTTCACACTAGCGCTTAGTGCCAATTTTCCTACATAAACATAAAACAACCTAAACAAGTTGTTGCCTAACCAGCAGGCAACACAAACATAAGACCCATAACAAACAAGAACTCAAAACAAAACAAAATCATTTATTAACCAGTACAATCTAGCTAGCAGAATCAACTAAGCAAGTATAACATTTTGAAAAGGCACAAAATAGTCAAGAAAAGATGGTATAAAATGACACTGTCAAAGAGCTAATGCTTAAAATCTGACTTTTCATCAATTATATTAGAATGATATGGTAAGAAGAAAATTCAGGCTTATAAACATACCAGTTCAATTGTATTGAATTTGTTAACAATTATAGAGTGAAAAGCAATGAATGATGTTTAATTATTTTTAGCCCTTAACTAATATTTTATGGTCACTCTGCAAACATGTTTGGACACTTTAAGTTTCACAGAACATTTGTAATTATTTCATGACCTACCATCACTTAAAAGAAAATCACTCACTAAAGCACCAATTTAAAACCCTACTTTTGCTACTCCTCTTTTCTCAGCAATGAATGTCTAAATTACTCAAAAGTATGCAAAAACTATTACCTTATAGTTACTGGTTATGTCTTGCTGGTATGAGGAACAAATCCTAATCTCAAATGGTATTTTAGGCTGCAAAAAATAGGTGGTTTTTTTATATATATAAAAATAACAACTTAACCCCCCAAAAATTTCTAAGGCAAAAATTATTTTGATAACGTAGTGTAAAAAATAAGATTATTTAGCATTTGATAGTATTCACTAAAAACAACATTCAATTAAACTTAAGAAAACTGAGTATGCTTACTTATAATTGGTTTGTCAGTATACTATTCCCAGAGTATTTTTGTCTGCTTTTATTGTTATACATATAAACACAAACATTTAATACTTAATCTCAGTATTCAAACTAATTTTTTTGTTTTGTTTTTGTTTTTTCTTTAAACCCATATTTCTAGGACTTCAACTGTGCTTCTTTGGACAAATACTTATTCAAACAACAAAGAATTTAAAATTTTTAAGACTATTTAATACCTACTAAAAATCTTTGGTGCATTTAAGTCAAAACCGATTAGGTTAATAAATTTCTGCACTTGATAAATTATTCAATTTACAAACTAAGTGCTAATTGCTATCTGCTAAAAAATTAACTTAAAACAATAAATTATGTTTATAAAATAACAATTCTCAATAAGGCTAAACTTAAGTCAAAATTTTAAGGATAGTTATAAAATAAAATGGATTACAGGGTTATATAAAGGTAAACTGAAAAGAGTAGGTTTCATTTTATGCTTTTTGTGCTCAATGCAAAAGCTTACATACATTCAGTTTGCCCAAATCCATGAGGTTTTCCCAATTTCAAAATTTCTTATATTTCTGGAAATTCAAGGCAGCAGATTAGTTTTCTTTTTGTTGTTTCTTCATAAGAATTAAACTCCCTACCAGACAGGGTTACAGTTAAGTGAGGGAATGTAATCCCTGGCACATAGTAAGCCACCATTAATGCCACCTTTCTTCTTTCCACTGGTAACTCTGCAACTTACTGATCACATGAATTTAAATGAGTCCTTTCATCTTAACCTCCGATTCTTTCTCTACAAAATGGGAATACACCATGTCCTTTCTATTTCAGAGCTGGTTATGAGGTTCAAATGAGATAATAAGTGAAAGCATTTTAGAAAACAGTAAACCACTATTCAAGTTTAAGTTATCTTCAATAATAACTAAATACAATTATACAATTGTATTTCACTTTACATAAGAGATGTATCTCAGAAAAATTCTATGTAAACCAATCCCTACAATTATACCATATATTTAAAACATTAGAACATTATTAAAAGAACCCTAAAGTAAATACCTTCAAACAGCAAAGTATTCTTTTCAATGTGAAAATGCAATATCCTCTTTTTTTTGCCACCAAATATACAATATACCATATACATACACATATATATATATACCATTTGCCTTTTTGTGAGTCCAAATTTTCTATATTAGCTTATATATAAGGCAGAGTATATTTTTAGGTATGATTTATTTTTATTATAGTTAAGATTTTTAGTTAAAATCTTGTCAGTCTTTATAATAAAAATCATAAAGATGTATTTTTAACAGTCAATCTGAAAGACTAGACTAACAGTACCTTATAGTCAAGCTCAATCATGTAAGTACCCCAGGTATAACATTTCCACATAAAGTAAATGAGAATGCTTTAGAAAGAAGAAATAATATAGTAATTATGTCTACTGGTCCTAAGATAATTATAACTAAACCTTAATAAATGAGGCAAAACTCAGGTTGGTTTTATTATTTATATGAGCTACTTTGGTTAAATGCTTCAATTTTCAACATTTTTTTTTTGTTTTTATTATCACTAACATGGCAAATTTTCCTATAAAGTACCTTCATTTCTTAAGTGCTTCATCAGTTTCTTCCATTACTAATTGGTTAAATTTTATTCACTAAAAGTTCATTATTTTATTTGTGATTTTCTTATTCACAAGGGCCAGGCCAGACTTTACAGTTTACACACAAAAAAGTGCTTAAAGCAATTGGGAGTGTAAACAAAATTAAAATGGAAAACTTTGAGAACTGCTATTTTCCAGTAGTTTAACAGATAAATGGCAAATCAATAATAAATCAACCCTGTCCAGTCTAATCCTCAAGCAATCCTACTAGGAAACATTATCCTAGTGTAAGTTTAAATTGACTTGAAAATATGGAAAGTGCATATCTTTAAAGGTATTCTATAATTTCAATGTTTTCCTTCAAATTCAATCAGTGAGCTTTCACTGTTAACTGCTATTTCTTTTCTCCAAGTCCTCAACTTGTGTCTCATACAAAAATAAGAATCGAGGATAATTATAAACATTCCACTAATTATGAAAGCAAAAATAAAAATCTGGATTGTATGTGAATCTGTAAACAAGTAGTAGCTTCATTCAATTAAAGCAAAGTAGGTGCAAATTTTAGAATTTGTTTGGCATCTTTTATAATGATTATACATGAAGTACGTAGGTTCTTTATCCCACTTTCAATCAGTCAAAGTAAATGAAACTCAAAAGTAGTGCATTCAATTGTGTCACTAATTAGTCATAACTGCTCCTTCATTAATGAGACGAAGATATAAGCTATGACATATTGTTAATGTTCCTGAAATAAATGACAAAAAAAGTTCAAAAGGTTAACTTACCTTGAAGATATCTAGTTAAGGCTGTCATATTTTTCATCTAACACATTTTTAACTTGTATAATTTAATGCGTAGATCAATGTTTGCATTTATTATTCATAATAACTCAAGTAAAGGCAAAACCTGAATATATGGATTATCATTTCAATCCAACATTTCTTTTAACATGCTAATCTTATATAAATTAGCTGCTGGCTTTGAGTATGTCAAAAGTCTGAAGGATTATTATACCTGAAGTTATGAATAGATGGCAAGACATCACAAATATACCCAAGACTTTCTTATATATTCAAATTCTTAATTTCAATTAAAAATGTAGATAAAATAAGTTAGGATAAGAAATTATCAGTATACTTCTACATTCTTTCTTAAACTTGTTTGTAAAATGGGGAAAGAAGAAAAGATATAAGGCTAAAGAATAAAACTTTCCACTGATAATTAAAAAAAAAAAAAATCCCCATAATGTCAGTAGCTAATTCTGAAAAGTTCAAGAACCTATTAAAAATTAGCACTAACCATTAAAAAAATCACAAAAATGTTTACTTCGAATATTATGCCAAATTATGTCCAAATATTCATGTATTCAGTCAACAGAGACACACTGTTTTCTTGATCTGAAACTGTTCTGAGGACTTGAGAAACTACAAAAAATGAAAAAATAGCAGCCCTACTAGCTTAAAAGCCACCAGGTTTTAGCTACCATTTAGCACATAACCATCATAAAGTCTGTGGAATGTTTACTCATGAATGATGCTCATTAGTAGAAATATTCTGAACAGCAGTAGTGTTATCAAGGCCTAGTAATGTTCCAAGGTAAGACTGTTCTCTAGGATCTAGCATTTGTTCAGGTCGGACTGGATGAACTATATTTGCAGGTTGAGGAGTAAGAGTATATTTTTCCAGGAAAGCTAAATCAGCTGCACGTGGATAATCAGTTGACTGTGGCTGTGGTGACAGAATCTCATGAGAAGATGGTGGGAGTGTGGTAGTATGATGCACCAGGTCACTCGGAGTGTCAGGCATCTGAACTGGAACCAATGTTACCGGAACACACACTTCAGCAGATACATTCTGTAATATAGTCTTGGCTTCTGGTTGATAAACTTTGGGCTGGTCCATATATTGTTTTGTTTCTGTTTGAAAGATTTTATCATCAGATGAGTACTCTACCGGCAAGGACACAAGTTTTTCCTCAGAAGTACTGAGAGGATCATCAGGAGATTTTATCCCATGAACGTGGTCAATATGGTATTTCAACTTGTCTTTCCGCTTAAATGTTGCATTACAATGCTGACAGTTGAAAGGTCGGGCATCAGAATGAATAACCAGGTGTTTTGTTAAGGTTTTTTTAATTCTAAAAGATTGATTGCAAATTTGACACTTGTATGGTTTTTCACCTGTATGAAAAAAATAAAATTAATTGTAAAGTGTACCCAATTGATAAAATGATAATTTAAATTGCAAGGTTTCCATCTGCATACTTGTAAGACCTTAATAAGAACAATCATATTAAATTAAATGCTATCACAAAAAGGGATAGTATAGTAAAGTGATGAAAACAATTAGTTAAATATCAGAAAGATATGGGCTTGAGTTGTGGCTACACAACTTACTAGCCAAACCTTAAGCAAGCTAACAACTTCTACTAATCCTAGTTTCCTCACCTGCAACATGAAATAATGATAGCACCTAAATGAGAAACTGAAATAACACTGCTCAGCACTAATTATCATTTCTCACTACAGCCTCCAAAAGTTTCCCACTACAGCCTCCAAAAGTTTCGTTAAACTTATTTTCTTCTATCCAAGGAAGATAAAAATCATAACAGAAACTCTGATCAACCTTTTTCTTTGGATCAGAATGAGAAGTAGTAATAATCATCTCTAGCCCAAGGTCTAAATAAGAAAAGTTGATGGGAAAGAATTAGGAGGGTAGATCAGTTTTGAATTCCTGAGTCAAGGATCTCACACTATAGATTAATTTGCTTTTTTATATAAGGCATTAAAAATTCCTAGGTTAGCCAATGTGATAGGCAGAATAACGGTCCCTCAAAGAGGTACACATTCTAATCCACGGAAGCTGTGAATATATTATATCACACAGTAAATGAAACTTTGCAGATATGATCAAGTTTAGGATCTAAAATGGACAGATTTATTGGATTATGGAGGTGAGTCCAATATAACTGAAAGAGTCTTAAGAACTGTCTGCTAACTGAAGAATAATGGGTGAGAGACATGTGACAAGAGAACTCAGCCCCAAATTACTGGCTTTGAAAATGGAAGAAGGGAACCAGGCAGGACCCAGGACACTAAAAGTTGTAAAAGGCTCTTAGCTTGCCACCACCAAGAAAATTAGAACTTTGGTCCTAGCCCTGTAACTCCAAGAATTCTATTTTGCCAAGAACCTCAGGAATTGATAAATACATTTTTCCTAAGAGGCCTCAGAAAAAAATACGACCCTACCAACACCTAGATCTTAGCCCAATGAACTACAAGTTCATAAATACATATTGTTTAGGCTGCTAAATCTGTGGTAATTTATTACACCATCAATAGAAAATAAATACAGGCATGCTAATATTGCAATATACAAAGGCAAATGAGTTTACATATCTACTATTACAAATGAGGTTACATATCTACTGTTACACGGGAGATATATATATATATATATACTTTTAGAAGTAGTTGGATACAATACCTTTATTTTGTTTATTTATTTTTATGTGGTGCTGAGGATCGAACCCAAGGCCTTGCAAGCATTCTACCGCTGATCCACAATCCCAGCCCCTACACGGGTTTTTTATCCTTATCTCCTTCAGCTCTCCATTTAAAACATAATCTATTCTTGTAGAAAATTAAAGAGAGAACTATCTTGGAGCTGCGAAACTATTTCAAATGATTACTTTTTAGGTATTATTGTTTAATATTTTGCAGCCCATTACAACACTGACAAACCACTGACAAAATTTATATAGATGGGGATGCTAGGAACCTGCTACCATTAGATTTCTACTTGGTTCTAGACTAACAGCATTACCGATGTTACTAGAATGAAAGTGAGACCTGAAGTAATACACTATATAGAGAAGTAACATTTCTGAAAAGGAAGTACTTTTTAACTATATATAGGATGCACTGTTTCTGACATTTGATTTTACAGTTGAATGCCTAGAATTAGGGACAATGACAAAATTCAGAGTGCTTTGAGAGCGAGAAAGGAAAAAAAAAAAAGCTTATACTGTTAAGATGTAAGAATTATACGTTCTTTCTATAAATCCCTGACATCAATATATGACATGCAAGGAGCATTCTATGATTGTCCTTGAAAATAAAAACACTAATACAGCATAACACACACCACCAAAAAGCATAGATTTGATTTTTAAAGATAAAAATGTGAGTTTTAAGTGTTTTCCTTTGGCATATTACTAGGCATAATGGCTTCTATGAGTGTCTTCATGAAAATGCTTTTATAAATACAAAGATTTTCTTCCTTCCCTCCTCCTTTTTTAGAGCCAATTAGTTCTAGTGTACAACAATACTTTTAGAAAACTGGAACCTGATAGGCATATCCTTTGAGATATCTATTATCATTTTAAACAGATGCCATTTTCCCTAGAAGAATAAATAAATTTGGGCTTATAAAAAGACAAAATCTGTCGGAGACCAGCTCCAACAGGGGGTCTCAGGAGACGAACAGATGGTGAGGAGTCGGCGAAAGAGGGGTGGAGAAACAACACAGACACCAAAGTGAAGGTGTTGGTCCCAATCTTTACTTCTGAAGTTGATCATATATACTTTTCATTTTGGCAGGCTCACAGTACTTTGTGGTTACAAAACAGGAATCATTATTCAAAGAAACAAAATATTATGTAGCTACAATTAGAATAGAAAAATGTATCTTGGCTTATACATAAGCAAGCATTTGTACTTTCAGTTCGCATTTTGCTTTGAGCTGTTTCTGCTTAGTTAACTTTTAATAATAGTTAGAAATGTCCCAAACTATTGGCCTATACCTTGACTATTCTTTCTTGACTTACTGACTGGAACTGGTGCCATGGTTACGGCAAGTGATTGACTTGTTATTAATTTTAATCAAACAAGAGTAAGAGCACAAACCATTGTGCACAGGAACAAGAACAAGTTGCCCAGTACCAAGCACTAATCTGTCTTCTTAACATTAATTTTTCTTCTCTAGATTTTAATTTAATTTCTCAAAAACTTCCTTGACAGGAATACAGGGAGTTTTTCATTAGACATTAACAATTTACACTCCACAGCTGAATCATTGCATTTAGAACAAACAGATCTATTCTTTAGAAGTAGTTGCATTAATTGGGAAAGTCATGTTTTTTCCTTCATACTTAATGGTCATATGAGAAGTTGCAACTATACTTATTAAAGGAATACAAAAACAAACCAGCCCATTCCCAGAAACATACTGCGCTCCTCCAGAGGATGGACGCCTTGCGCCATCCACCTCAGTAGGGCCTTGCCATTGCCTGAGTCAGGGGAGGGGCGCAGCAAAAATCCATAAAGGAAATGTTGACGTTATGGAATGTATGAAATATATCTGGGTTGTATGAAGATACACAAGTAGCAAAAGCCAAAAAGTAAGTACATGAACTTGATGAAAGGAGAAATATAGAATAAAAAAATATTTTTATAGTGAGATTTTCTAGAGTAAAATTATCTATTTAACAGCAATTAAACCAAGTTTTATGCATCTGAGGAACATAAATGAGAGACATAAGCAACCAAAGAAAGGTACTTTTCAGGACCTATAGAAAGGAATCTATTCACACCAGAAAAAATAAAACAATACTCAAATTAATGTCAACTACTTCTCAGTTATAATTCCAACAACCTATGACCCTTTAGAATTTAAAAATGCCACCCACAGGGTCAACTATCTTTAGATTAAAATTTAGTACTTAAAATGTAATGAGGGACATTTATTTCAGACTTGATAGTTTATATCATACCATGTTTCTTGCTGGAGTGAGGGGAAGATAAAAGCTCAAAAAACAAAACAAATAAAAACATAGCACAAAAAGCCTACTCTTTACAGGTACTGAATGAAGTACAACCAAGTCAGCCAGAACCCATGGGGCCAAGGTTCTAGAGACACAGGAAGTATGGAGGTGCTTTCTTCTCTCTTCAGTGCGCTTTCAGATTCAGTTTATGGGAAAATGAGGCCAAATTGCAGCCTAGGGCTTGAGGAAATCTCACTGAAATAAGAAGACAAAAGTTGGAGCTTTGGACTATCAAGGACTTGAGGGGTCAGAAGCCTGGGCAGAGTGGGGAGGAAGAAGAAGAAGAATAGAAAAATGAACCAAAATATGTGCCAATTCCAAAGATGAACATTTCCTGAGTGAGACAGCTGGAGACCAGGGGCTGAGAGGCTAAAGGACTGAGTTTCTTCAGCAGTCCCAAGGGCTGCTGAGGAGAGAGATTAGAATTCAGGACTCTTCAAAGTGAGAAAAGATACCATTCCTTCAGTAAAGACCCCAAAATATGATGAACTAGAAGACAGACCAGAAATAAAAAAAGAAATAAAGCAAGGTCATTTCATGCTCCATCTGCTGGTGAGAAGAATATTAAATCTGTGGAAAAAAACATCTTCAAGAGCGTCTATAATTTTTAATTACAAAATCCAAAGTTCAATACAAAATTACCAGGCATGCCAGAAATAGGAACAGGTGATCAAATAGCAAGAGAAAACATGGTGACAGATTTACCAAAAATTTCAAAGTGCTATATTTATAAGGCTAAGACATCAAAATCAATATGGTTAATATGTTCATGAAGATACAAAAAAGAAAATTTCACTAAGGAATTGGAATGTGTAGAAAAGAAAGTTAGAAAAATTAAACAATTGAAGATAACAATTTGATAGGTAGATTTAACAGCAAATTGGATGCCATAGAAGAAATGGTTACTACCATGAAAGCTGTATCAACAGAAAATATCCAGGTAAACACATAAAGAGATATAGGATAAAAAAAATAGCATGACAATGATATATGACAAAGTGAAATGGTCTAACATATGAATACTTGAATTCCCAGACAGAGTATATAATAAAGCTATATTTAAAGAGAATGTGACTGAGAACCTTCCTAAAAAAGAGAGACATCAAGTTGTAGATGCAGTAAGTTCCACAAGCTTCACAAAATATAAGCAACAAACTACAACAAAAAACACATGAAGTCATACTACAGTTGTTATGGTTTGGACACAAGGTTTTCCCAAAAAGCTCACGTGTGAGACAAAGCAATAAAGTACAAGAATTGGGTTATGAGAGCCTTAACCTAATCAGTACATTTATCCACATGAATGGCAGGGAGGGTGTGGATGAAGGAGGTAAGTCACTGGAGGCATGCCTTTGG